CATCATTCTTTTGCATATGACTATCCATTTGACCAGCACCATTTATCAATAAGACTGTTTTTTTCCTCCTGGGTCTTGGCACCTTTGTTGAAAATCCATTGACTGGAGATGTGCATGTTTATTTGTGTGACTCAATTCCATTCCCTTCATCTTTTATGCCACTATCACATTGTGTTTGTTACAGGATGCCTTTTTTTTTTTTTTTTTTGTACTCTGGATTGAACCCTGAGCTATAGTCCCAGCTTTTAAAATTTAAAAAAATGTTTTTTGAGACAGGATCATATTAAGTTGTCCAGGCTGGCCTTCAGCTTGCAGTCTTCCAGCCTCAGCCTCCCAACTTCCTGGGATTATAGGTGTGTGCCACTGCACTTAACTGAGGGTCCTTTTTTATAATGAGGATATTGGCTCCAGCTTCACTACTGGAGAGAACATAAAAGAATAATGCATTTTGCCCCCAAACACTCATGTTTTTACTGCTTCTGCTAACATTTTACCTTTAAAAAATATGGTTCAGGACTTGGGTTGTGGCTTAGTGGCAGAATACTTGCCTAGCATTTATGAGGCACTAGGTTAAATCCTTAGCACCGCATATAAATAAAATAAGTCCACTGACAACTAAATAAACAAAAACAAAAACGTGGTCCAGTGATTATGATTGAATTCATAATCAATAATTCATAATTCATAATCAATTCAATCAAATCATAGAAGCCTGGCCATTATATTGCTGTTTTTTCTAGATGCTAAATCCTTTGAAGATCAGATTTATGTATTTACATTCATGCCTGGAAGTGTGTTACATAGATTTTTTTGTGTGTGTGCTAGGGATTGACCTAGGGCCTTACAAATGTTATGCTGTGCTCTACTACTGAATGCTGAGCTATGTCCCCAGCCCCACACAGATTCTTAAAGATTTTTTTTTTGTGTGTGTGTGTGTGTGTGTGTGTGGTCTTGGGATTGAATCCACAGCCTTGCTCATTCGCTCATTCGAGGCAAGTGGTCTACCATTGAGTTAACCCCCAGTGCCATGTGGTTCTTTTTTTTTTGTACTGGAATTGAACCCAGGTTCACTTCCTCCAAGCTATATCCCCAGTCTTATTTATTTGGGTACTAGGGATTGAACCCAGAGGTGCTTAACCACTGAGCCACATCCACAGCCCTTTTTATGTTTTGAGAAAGGGTCTCACACAGTTGCTTAGGGCCTCACTAAGCCAGCTGACGCTGGCTTTGAACTTGTGATCCTCCTGCCTTAGTCTGCTGAGCCACTGGGATTTTAGGTGGGCACCACTGCATCCAGCTTATATTTGATTTTGAGGCAGGGTCTTGCCAAGTTGCTGAGGATGGCTTTGAATTTTCAGTTTCCTAAGTTGCTGGGGTTTCCAGGGGTATCCACTGCACCCAGCCTATATGGAGTTTTCATAAATGGTCAAACCAGGAAGAGTGCTGCAATCTGGCTGGGCACAAGATCACGAGCCACTCACAGCTTTGTAGATTCAAACAACAATTCTTTATTCCCGAACTCACACCGGCCTCTGTACAAACACCTTCTGGGGAAATCCAAGTTCTGCCGCCCAATTCACGTCCCAAATACTTTCTCAATTCCAGTCCCAAATACTTTCTCAATTCCATGAGAACTCAAGGGAACTCAGGCAGCAGGATACGCCCTATTCCCAGCAGGAATAACCTTAAATCTGGAACTGCCCTTAAACCGGGAACGCCCTAAACCCAAGGAGCGGGATACTTCCTAAAACCTGCAGGATACACCCTAAACCTGGATCCACCCAGGTCCTTGAGCAGGGTCACCTTTCTCAAACACAGATGCAATGTCACAGCGAATTTCCTAGGCAAGTCCATTTAACATGGGGTACACTGGCAAAGAAATTTCGATGTGTCATTCCTACTTGGCAATGACCCTCAGCAGAAGAGTTAAGGAATGGATCATATTATAGCTTGTGAAATCATATTGTTGGGAAAAATAAGGAACAATCAATAGGTAAAATGAGATTTTTCCAGAGGCATACTGGGGTGAGAATATGATGTATGAGAGAGAATTCTGAGAGACAATTGCTTTTCTTTCTTTTTTAAACTTTATTTATTTATTTATTTTTATGAGGGTACTGAGGATCAAACCCAGGGCCTTGCACGAACGAGGTGAGCGCTCTAACCACTGAGCAACAACCCCAGCCCGACAATTGCTTTTTTATTTTTATTTATTTTTATTTTTTTTAAAGAGTGAGAGAGAGAGAGAGAGAGAGAGAGAGAGAGAGAATTTTTAATATTTATTTTTTAGTTCTCGGAGGACACAACATCTTTGTTGGTATGTGGTGCTGAGGATCGAACCTGGGCCGCACGCATGCCAGGCGAGCGTGCTACTGCTTGAGCCACATCCCCAGCCCCCGACAATTGCTTTTCTAAATAGGTTCCCTGTTAATGAAAACAACAAGTACATATTCCCAATGCATGGATTAATCTGCATTTCAAAGAATCTTATCCTTTGTGTGAGCATGTGTTTGGATTCTTGGTTGCAAAACCATCATTCCTGTGGTTTGCCAGGGAGTATTTGCCATTGTGGAGATGGGAGACATGGGTGCTCGGGAGGCTGTCTTATCACAATCCCAACACAGCCTGGGAGGACATCGCTTGCGGGTCCGGCCACGGGAGCAGAAGGAGTTCCAGAGTCCAGCCTCCAAATCCCCCAAAGGAGCAGCGCCTGATAGTCACCAGCTGGCGAAAGCACTAGCTGAGGCTCCAGATGTGGAAGCACAGATGGTAAAACTTGTCCAGTTGAGGGAATTGTCTGAGGCTGAGCAGCAGCTTCGGAGCCTTGTGGTGGCCCTGATGCAGGAGGTCTTCACAGAGTTCTTCCCTGGTAAGTCCCCTGCCGCAACATGTGATCCCTTCCTGTTCTTTGCTCTGCCGTGTCTGCATATGTAGGTCTCCTCACCTGGAGGTATTTATTTGATTGGTCTTTCAGTTTTGTACTCCACTATGTTCTGAAGTCTCCTGCTCTTCCCTAATGTTTCTGCACCTTTTTAAAAATATATGTATTTTTTAGTTTTAGGTGGACACACAGTATCTTTATTTATTTATTTACTTTTTAATGTGGTGCCAAGAATCAAACCTTTGTTCTCTGCTTGGTACTTAGGCTGTGTGGTCCATCCTTTTGGCTCGTCCATAAACAGCTTTGATGTCCATGGCTGTGATCTTGACCTCTTCTTGGATCTGGGTGACTTGGAAGAGCCCCAGGTGAGTGATCAGGGAGGCAGGCAGGGAATGGTCATATGACTGTGGGCAAGTTCTTAACCTCTCTGCCTTAGTTCTACATTTATAAAGATGGGAATAATGGGACCTATGTGAAAGGATTATTGTTATTGGAGAAATGTGATTATGGATGGATAAAAGGTTATACAGTAATTTTAGGATTATGTTTTTGCTTATGTATATTTTCTGACATCTAATGTACACATTTTATTTTTGGAATAGGAAAGGGCTATGGTTATTTTTTAATAATTGACTTTATTTTTTTAGGCCAGTTTTAGGTTCTTAGAAAAGTGAAGCACAAAGTAGAGTTCCTGTATACCTGTTGCCCCCACAAAAAGTGTCATTGTTTTCTTTGCAGTGTTGGGATTGAACCCAGGGCTTCAGGCATGCTAACTAAGTGATATACCACTAAGCTACATCCCAAACCCCCAAAAGAGTTGTGTTCTCTTTCTTTCCTAGGGATTACGTACTACTGAGCCATATTGCCATACCTTTTTTAAATTTTTATTTTGAGACAGGGTCTTGCTAAGTTGCAGAGGCTGATCTCAAACTTGCCTCAGCCTCCTGAGTTGGCTGCCATTATAGGCATGCCTCATCTAGCCTGGCTAGGGGTTGTTTTCTTGAAAAACGCCAATCTCTATTTCTTTACACACACACAATTTGTATCTTCAGAATCACTTAAGAGAAGGTTGCAGTCATCATGTCCTTTTACCCTTAATATTTTAATGTGAATTACTTAAGAACAAAGGCACTCTAGTGTGTAACCCCAGTACAGTGATCAAGTCCAGGAAATGTTATACTGGTACAGCTGTCCTGACATTGTCCTGTTGTATTTTTAGTCTTTATTTTGGAATAGTTCCTCTGCCTTTCTTTGTCTTTCATGACAATGATAGTTTTGTAAAGTATAGACCATTTTATAGGATTAAAAGTTTATTTTAAGAAAGGATTGTTAGGAGGAAGGAGAAAATGAGTTAATATACGTAAAGCCCATATAATAACCGTTAAGTATAGATACTGTCTTGGGGTCAGAGATGTCCCCTGGTTAGGGGATAGTAGGAGAGGCATTCACACAGCTCATTTCTATTCACAGTCAGTCTTAAAGGCTCCCGAGTCTCCATCATTGGACTCAGCCCTTGCTTCTCCACTGGATCCTCAAGCCCTGGCCTGTGCCCTAGCCTCCCCTCTAGGCTCACAGTCTCCAGCTTCTCCCCAAGGTTCTGAAGCCCTGGACTGTGGAACTCCTTCCTCCTCTCTGGCACCCCAGACTCCGGACTCGGCTTTGGCCTCTGAGACTGTTGCCTCTCCCCAGTCCCTGCCTCCAGCCTCACCACTGCAGGAAGACAGGGGAGAGCAGGACCTGGGAAAGGCCCTGGAACTAGCAGAGGCCCCAAAGGGGGAGAAGCCAGAGGGAGCAGCAATGCTGGAGCTGGTGGGATCCATTCTCCGGGGCTGTGTCCCTGGGGTGTACCGAGTCCAAACTGTGCCGTCTGCACGGCGCCCTGTTGTCAAGTTCTGCCATCGACCTTCTGGTCTTCATGGTGACGTCTCCCTCAGTAACCGGTACCTTTGTGTGTGGTGTGGAAAGGCTAGCTGAGTTCTGGGGTGCTGGGGAGGGAGTCCGGACTTGGGAATCTTCTGTATCTGCTAAGTCAAGTGGTCCTTGTTTGGTTCTATCTCTGCCATTTACCTTTCTTTTCTGGTTTCCATTTCAATGTTGGTAAAGTGTGTTCTTTGAAATACTATTTTTAGAAGAAGTAGAAGAGAGTTCTGTGACTACATGAATTTGGGAAAGGTAAAGTTAAATTCAGACAGGATTCTCCCTCTCTTCCCTTCTTCCCCTTTCCCTTTCTTTCTTCTTTCCTTACTGTATAGCTTTGTTTATTAAAGGCTCTGAGAGGTCTTGTAATAAATAGCAGCTCTGTGAATGGCGAAGATGAGCATATAGACTATTGTGCTACCCAAATTCTTTTTTTTTTTTTATGATGCTGAGGATTGAACCCACAGCCTTGTGCATTTGAGGCAAGCACTCTACAACTGAGCTAAATCCCCAGCCCTACCCAAGTTCATTTGACATAATTTTTTTTGTGTGTGGTACTAGGGATTGAATACAGGGCTTCTTCAAACACTGCGCTACATCTTCAGCCCTGACTTTTTTTTGGTGGGGGTGGGGGGGGGAGTACCAGGGATTGAACTCAGAGGCACTCAACCACTGAGCCACATCCCCAGCCCTAGTTTGTATTTTATTTAGAGACAGGGTTTCACTGAATTGCTTAGAGCCTCGCTTTTGCTGAGGCTGGCTTTGAACTTGTAATCCTTCTGTTTTAGCCTCCCAAGCCACTGGGATTACAGGCGTGCCCCAGTGCGCCTGGCTTTCAGCACTGATTTTGACATTCTTTTGCATAGCCTCTCAGAAGACCAGCTTTTATTTTTCCTTCTTTTTTTTTTTTTGTACTGGGGCTTGAACCCATTGGTGCTTACACTGAGCTATCCTCCAGTCTTTTATTTTTTATTTTGAGACAGAAGTCTGGGTGAGTTTCTGAGGCTTACCTTGAACTTGTGATCTTCTTGCCTCAGCCTCCCAAATTACTGGGATTACAGGAGTGCACCACTCTGCCCAGAGCAAGACCAGTATTTTGGTAACACTTAGGGAAACATTCTTTATTTTATTGCAGCTGGCCCTAGGTCTGGAATGAGAGCTAGTAGGGTGATAGCTCTCAAGCCCTAACACCCTTGTCTCCTTTGTTCCAGGCTAGCCCTACATAATTCCCGTTTCTTGAGTCTCTGCTCTGAGCTGGATGGGCGAGTCCGGCCCCTTGTGTATACTCTCCGCTGCTGGGCTCAGGGTCGAGGGCTGTCAGGTAAGGATGAATCAGAATAGAGTTGGTCTGAGTTGGATATCAGAATGAAGGATTCAGGGAGAGAAGGGTGCACATAGGAACCAGAGTTGAAAAAACTGCCAATGAGGGGTTTGGAAACACCTCTTCCCTAACTGGAATGATTGATTATTTACACAGGGAGTGGCCCGCTTCTGAATAACTACGCCTTGACCTTGCTTGTGATCTATTTCCTTCAGACCAGGGACCCTCCTGTGTTGCCCACTGTGTCCCAACTCACCCAAAAAGCAGGTATTTCAGCCCAGCCTCCACTTTCTACTTCATCAGTTTTGTGCCTCTGCTTCCTTATAAAGCCACCATGGAATAAGATTTCTGCTGTCAACCCAATTACAACCCCTCATTCCTCCAATCTCCCTGTTTCCAACTGACCCCCTCCTTTTTTGCTTTTACAGGTGAGGGAGAGCAAGTGGAAGTTGATGGCTGGGACTGTAGTTTCCCCAGGGATGTCTCAAGACTGGAGCCCAGTACCAATGTGGAGCCCCTCAGTGAGTCTGGGGAGCCTGGGGAGGACTGGTAATAATCTCAGTCTCTATAGTGGTAATGCATCATACTCACTGTGCCAGGCTTGGTTCTCAAAGCAGCTCCAAGGCTGCTGGTATTGTTATGGTCATTTTACAGAAGAAGAAACCATGCCCTGGAGCAGTTCAGTGGCTTGCCTAAAGCTACTCTGCTAGTAAAGCAGGGAGAAGCAGCTGGGAAAGGACACGGCTGGGATGTAGGAAGGGAGGCTTGACCTCTTGTTTATAGGGATCAGAACAGAGAAGCCTGGTTTCCCAGGACTCTTCTGAGCCCCTTGGGAGGGAAAAAGAAAGTCCTGCTAAGGAAATAGCTATGGTGCAGGACCTGTCTCAGTCTCAGTTCCAGTTTCCAACTGACCCCCTTTCCCCAATCCACCTCCTCCTCCAGGTTCCCTGCTGGCTCAGTTCTTCTCCTGCGTTTCTGGCTGGGATTTTGCTGGCTCACTGCTATCCCTGAGGGAGGGTCAGGCATTGCCAGTGGCAGGGGGCCTGCCCTCTAATCTTTGGGAAGGTCTGCGCCTTGGCCCCATGAATCTCCAGGACCCCTTTGACCTGAGTCACAATGTTGCAGCCAACGTGACCAGCCGGGTGGTTGGGCGACTACAGAATTGCTGCCGAGCAGCAGCTAATTACTGCCGAAGCCTCCAGTACCAGCACCGTTCCTCTAGGGGTCGGGACTGGGGGCTGCTCCCCCTTCTGCAGCCCAGCTCTCCGAGCTCCTTGCTGTCTGCCATGCCCATCCCCTTACCCCCTTTTCCCTTTCCCCAGCTCACTGCTGCTGTGGTCCAGGTGTTAAGAGAAGCCTTGGGATGCCATATAGAACAGGGAACCAAGAGACCACGGTCAGAAGGATATGGGATTGAAGAGTCTCTCCAGGGAGGGACAAACAAAAGATTGAAACTTGATGGACAGAAAAAGAGCTGTGAGGAGGGAAAAGAGGAGCAGCAGGGATGTGTAGGGGACCACAGTGAAGATGGGGTGGAAGAAATGGTTATAGAGGTTGGAGAGACACCACAAGACTGGGCCATGCAGAGTCCTGGGCAATCAGGGGAACCACCCCTGATGACGAGAAAGTATCTAGCCACTGGAGAAGAGGGACAGCCAGACCATGTAGTGCTGCTGGCTGAGCAGGGACCCATGGGACCTAAGGTGGCCCAAGAAGAGATGAAGGGTGAGACAGGGAAGGGGGCATCTTCCCCGTCTTCAGTGAGCTGGCGCTGTGCCTTGTGGCATCGAGTATGGCAGGGGCGACGGCGTGCTCGGAGACGCTTGCAGCAGCAAACCAAGGAAGGAGATGGAGTCAATGCTGGCGTGGGAGCAGAGTGGCTGGCAGTAGAGGCTCAGGTGACCCAAGAACTGGGGGGGCTGAACAGTTGTGAACAGAGACCAGAAACTGAACCCCTTCTGGCCTTTGTGGCATCGGCCTCGGAGGCTGACCAGACTCTCACCGTGACCCCACTCCGGGACTCCCAAGGCCTGTTCCCTGATCTCCATCATTTCTTACAGGTTTTTCTCCCTCAAGCACTTAGAAAACTCCTCTGAGGACATGGACCCTAAGGGCAATAAAGCTGCTAGTTTAATACAGATACTCTCTAGTTTTCTCTAATTTTCACCTGGTATGAATCCCTCTACCCTTTCTTCCTGCCTGTTCCCAGGGCTTCATGCAGCCTTTCCACCTGTCTGGTCCAACTACCTGTCTGGGTCCCCCCTTACCCCATTTCCTGAATGATATTATAGTGGGTTGATCAGTACTTGCTAGAACCAATTTGCCTCCACAGTTACCCTGCTGCCCCACCCCAAGTTTATGAATAAGTGACACGGCTAGAAATTTGGGTTCATCTGGTCTCTCCTTTAACAGGAAAGTTCATCCTACTCTTAAACTGGCTAAAAGATTTGTCAAACCTGAATATGGGTACAAAAAAACCCTATCAATCCTGTCTGGTTGGCACATGCCTGTAGTCTCAGCGACTCAGGAGGCTGGGACAGGAGGATCACAAGTTTGGGGCCAGCCTCTGCAATTTAGTGAGACCCTGTCTCAAAAAGACTGGGAAATGTAGCACAGTGACTTAGACGCCAGTACACCCGCCCCCCCAAAGGCAACCCATCATAACTGTCAGCCTCAGTGTTGGTGCATGCCTGTAATCCTAGCTACTCCAGAGGCTGAGTCTGGAGGATCGCAAGTTTGAGGACAGCCTGGTTGATTTATGAGACCCTGTCTCAAGTTGAGGATGCAGTTAAGTGGTAGAATGTCCCTGGGTTCCATCTCCAGTACCCCCCCGCATAAACACACAGAATGGAACTGCCTTACGTTGCAGTTCCACAATCCTCAGCTCTTAAGGGCCAAGCCAGCCTCCTGAAGGATGTGGAAGGGACATGGCAGAGATCCGGTGCCCTAACTGCATCCCGGAGCTGCAAGGAGGTTTAATGGGAGCAAACCTACCTTTCAGGGGTTTCTGACTTGGGCCTTAATTAGATACGCATCCCTTTCCAGAGAAAACAAGCGAAACAAAGGGAACTTCTCAAACTGCCATCTCCGCGCAGCAGTTTCTAACTCTTCTGGGTTTCACACAATCATGGTGTGAGGGGCTCAGCGGAACCTACCAGTGAATCTTCCGTCGTGGGCGGGCGAAAGAAACCGCAGGCATCACGCCAGGAGCCTGCGCCGCGCGAGGCTTGCAGCCGCGCCACGTAGCTATGAAGGGGCAGCTCTTCCAGCTGGTTCTCACACTTTCGCTTCCCTGGGTGCCTTGCACCTCCTGTCGGATTCCGATTGGTCGGCTACGCCTGCGGGGCGGGTCATCTAAGAACTCTACTGCGCAGGCGCGAGCCTTTTCCGCGCAGGCCAGCAGGCCCCACCCCTTTCTTTTTCCAATTCAGCGCAGCTGGATACGGAACTGTCGTGCGTATGCCTTCTGTGTCGTCCTCACTTTCCGGCTGTTATTTCTCCACGGCTCTCCCCTTCCCCCCTCCCTTCTCTCCCTGGCGGCTTACTTTGCGGCAGCATCGAGAGCCCCACCCCCTTTCTCTGCGGAATCACCATGGCGGCTGGGGTAAGTTTGCCGGCTCGGGTGATCGGGTTCACCCTATCCGCCGCCATCCTCTGCCGGAATGGGGCCAGTCGCGGTCAGAAGAGTTCTGGAGCCAAGTGGATCGCTGATTCGGGGTCTACAGACCATACTGTCGGAGACAGGGTTCCTAGGGCCTGGAGAGGAACTGAGGCTGGGGCTCTCCAAAGCCAAAGGTGGAAGGTTCTGGGGTGGAAGAGAAAAGAGATGTTGGGTTCGCGCGCTCTGAAGCCTGAAAAAGATGGATCGGCTTCTTTGTGGCTTTGAGAAGTGGGATTTGAGCAGGTTGATGGAACTTTTGTGATCGTTTTGCGGGGCAGCAACGGGACAGGGTGAAGAGAGGAGGGTCTTTGTGGGTAGGGACGACTGGCAGTACTAAGGTTCATGTCAGAGGTTTGGGAGCGAGAAGAGTCTCGGCACAGTGAAGTCGGGCTAATGGACATCGCCGTTCGGTTTAATAGAGAACACACTTGGGAACTCGCTGCAGGACAAGATCGGAGGGATGATGTGCGCGACAAGGAAAGAACGGTTTTTTAGCAAGAGTAGTAAGGAAGAGAGCATGCCATTCGATATTAACGTGGCTATTTCGAAGGGCACTTGGAAATCTCCCAGTCTGTGTGCGTGCCTAGAGATAGGGCAGTGCTTCTGAAGCAGTGCGCAGCTCAGCAGTAGTCAGGCATTTAGTTCACCTAGAATGAATGAAACAAGGACTCAGGAACGGGAGGGGTCTGTGTTTGTAGGCAGAGGAGTCTGATGGAACCTGAGTTTCTGGATTTTTTGGAGGTATACTTGAGGGGAAGAGAATATTTCTAAATGTCCTTAGGGAAGGTCAGATCTGTCAGCAGGCTTTATTTAGCAGTTGGTATGTAGTTCTGTTCTTGGTATTTCAGAGGACTCTGATTACATGTGACAAATACCAAAGAACTTGGTTTTCCCGAGGGAGTTAAAGTGAATTGAACAGATTGGAATTACTCAGGAAAGTCCTGGGGAGGGGGTGGTATTTAGGACTGGGACCCTTCTATTCATGTTTTTATTCTTCTCTCTCTTATATAGACCCTGTACACATACCCTGAAAACTGGAGGGCCTTCAAGGCCCTCATCGCTGCTCAGTACAGTGGGGCTCAGGTCCGCGTGCTCTCCGCACCACCCCATTTCCATTTTGGCCAAACCAACCGTACCCCTGAATTTCTCCGCAAATTTCCTGCTGGCAAGGTGAGTAGGGAACTGGAGCAGAGCTTCTGAGCCTGAGAACTAAAGAAGCCCTGGGATTCCATCACTTTGGAGATGACATCCATCTTTAAAAAGGGACTTCTCATGTTGTTTTTTTTTTTGTTTTTTGTTTTTGTTTTTAAAGAGAGAGTGAGAGAGGAGAGAGAGAGAAAGAGAGAGAATTTTTAATATTTTATTTTTTAGTTCTCGGTGGACACAACATCTTTGTTGGTATGTGGTGCTGAGGATCAAACCCGGGTCGCACACATGCCAGGCGAGCGTGCTACCGCTTGAGCCACATCCCCAGCCCTCTCATGTTGTTTTCTTTCACATTTCAATAATTTAAGAAAAATTTTACCGTGACATAGTTGTAGATTCGTGTGTAGTTGTAGAAAATAGGGCTGGGGTTGTGGTTCAGTGGTAGAGTGCTTGCCTAGCATGCATGAGGCACTGTTCGATCCTCCACCACATAAAGGCAAAATAATGTGTCCACCAAAACTAAAAAAATACATAAATAAATAAATACTTTTTTAAAAGAAAATAATGGAGATACTCAGTGATTTTAAGCAATTCATGGGTTTATTTGTCTTTGTGAGAAAGAACGTATTTTAACCAAGTGTTACCAGTGCAAATATATCAAGTACTTATTATGAGTGGGATTCTTACTCCATCCAGGAGGCTTCTAGAGGTAATAACCATACTCAAAGTAGAGGAGATAAGTGCTATGTGGACTGCACTCTAATACTTTTCAAATATTTAGACATAGATGTAAGACTTAATTTCTGGCCTTCTGATTATTTGATTGAGGGATTTTTATACAGATATCCCAGTATCCATAATGTTTGAATTGTTCAAATATTGTGAATTCAGATTGCAAGGGATATGGTTATTCTACTGTTTTTGGTTCTTGAGTTTCAGATGGTATGATTTGGAAAGCAAGGGTTGTTAGTCTTATATAAATATTTTTGTCAAACAATTAGGTTCTTGGAATTGGTTAGTGAGAAATCTGGTGTAATTTATCTTCATTGCTTTGTCCTCAGGTTCCAGCATTTGAGGGTGATGATGGATTCTGTGTGTTTGAGAGCAATGCCATCGCCTACTATGGTAATTTTCAAGGCTTTACAGGAATGGGAGGGTCTGAAGGTGGGGACATAGAGGAGGATGAGGGCAACTTGCAGTGGACAAGGAGGAATTGTCAGGGACCTGGATTGGTGTTGGCATAACCCCAAAGTTTTGACCTTTGTGTTCTACCTCTGCAGTGAGCAATGAGGAGCTGCGGGGAAGTACTCCAGAGGCAGCAGCCCAGGTGGTGCAGTGGGTGAGCTTTGCTGATAGTGACATAGTGCCCCCAGCCAGTACCTGGGTGTTCCCTACCTTGGGCATCATGCACCACAACAAACAGGTGAGCTTTAGAACTTGGGGAGAAGCCAAGTGCAGAGGTGGTATCTGCTCATGAATGTTGGAGAGGAGGAAATAAAACAAAATGAGAAAAAGATGTGGGAATGCAAAAACATAACCTTTGAATTTTAAGTTTGGAGCGGTGGGCAATAGATGGTTTCTGGGTTCTTGTCAGATCCAGTAGAGGTGGTTCCACTCTTAAGTGATCAGAGGTGGGATTTCTGCTATAGGGAGGTTATGCCAGATTTTCGGGGGATTGGGGGAGTAGTTTGACCAGATGACCTTCTATAAATTCCTATAAAGTTTCCTTCCTATAAATGTACAGTGGGAAATGAAGCCAGAGTAACCATGGAGAAATTTAACATCAAGAGCTCATTCATCATGCATTCAGAATGATCCTAGACTAAGGTGGGGATGAGCCAGGATACAGTGGAGTACCTGTTGGTGAGGGGAGTGAAGAAAAGGGATTGGTAACTGCTGATTAAATTTGAGTGTTTAAATCAATAGGCCACTGAAAATGCAAAAGAGGAGGTGAGGCGAATTCTGGGACTGCTGGATGCTCACTTGAAGACAAGGACTTTTCTTGTGGGTGAACGAGTGACACTGGCTGACATCACAGTTGTCTGCACCCTGTTGTGGCTCTATAAACAGGTGATGTTTATAAAGAACCTGTTTAGCAGGGAGTAGATGGGTATTCGAAACAAAACGACAAAACTTCCAGGTTATCCTGTGTTCTGTTGAGGACTTCATTGAAAGGGATGAGATAACAGCTCAGTCTGTGGGAATCCCAGGATCGAGTTAATATTAGTTTGTTTGGTGAATGAGATGATTACTGGTTTCCTTATTTACAGGGAAGGCTGGTTGAACTTAGTTGTGAAGACGGGATAGAGTGGTGACAGAGCATTGAGACCTTTTGCGGGGGGCAGGGGTACTGGGGATTGAACTCTAGTATACTCAACCACAGAGTCACATCCCCATCTTACCACCTCACTGTTTCTGAGGCTGGCTTTGAACCCGCAATCCTCTTGTCAGTGTGCAGAGTTGTTGGGATTACAGGTGTGTGCCACTGCACCCAGCGCATTAAAACCTTTTTGGGGGGTGGTTTTGGAGGCAGATCTGAGTTGTATTGGCTTCGGTATAAAGTCTGTAATTACTGCCCAGGCTATTGGATCGAAAAAGAATGACATTGCTGATTTTCAAAAAACAGCTATGGATCCATTTAGTACCAGAAAAATAATCACATCAGTTACACTTCCATGCAAACTTTAATTTAAAGGACTGTCCGTTCTAAATTATTCATACTTTTTGGTACTGGGAATTGATTCCTGGGGTGCTTTATCACTACACCCCCAATGCTTTTTATTTTTGAGACAGGATCTCACTAAGTTGCTGAGACTGACCTTGACCTTGTGATCTGCTTTAGGCCTCCCAAGACGTTGGGATAACAAGAGCATGCAATAGTGCATGGCACTCATACTTTGTTGTTGTTGAATGTTCTTTATTTTGATGTTTGTTTCTTCCACCCACCCTGAAGTGCTAGGGTTTGAACCCAGGCCTTTGCACATGCTAGATATGTGCTGCATGTACCACTGGAGCTATACCCCTAAATGTGTAAAATTTGATGATAGTGCGCGCGCGCGTGTGTGTGCGCGTGCATGCGCACATGTTAGTATGCATACACAGATAGTCAGTGTAGATAATTGGTATCGGTAGTGGTTTTGGAACTGGGGATTGAACATAAGGGTGCTTAACCGCTGAGCCACATCCCTAACTTTTAAAAAAATTTTTTAATTTTTAAATTTTTATGTGGTGCTATGGATTGAACCCATACCTCATACATGCTAGGCAACTGCTCTGCCACTGAGCTACAGCCACAGCCCCCCCAGCTCTTTTATATTTTATTTAGACAGGTCTTACTAAGTTGCTCAGGGCCTTGCCAAATTGATGAGGCTTTCCTTTGAACTTGTGATCTTCCTGCCTTAGCCTCCTGAGCTGCTGGTATTATAGTTGTGTGCTACTAGACCCAGCGGATACTCTTATAAAACTCTTGGTTGTTGCCCTTTGTTAGTCCCAAGTTAAAAAAAAAATTATTGACGTGAAATTTGGAGAACAATGTATATATGAAATGCTTTGTAAAAGAGCAAGACACTAAAAATATTTTTACCACGTAGTT